TATCTGGGAGAGCACTTCCTGACTGATAAATTTTTCCATAAGGGACTCATTATGAGGATTTTAACAAATAAGTTTCACCTCCTGTCTAGCACCTGGTATATAGCTACTGCTGTTTACAGGATAAAGGATTAAAGGGACTAATGCTCTGGTTTGATGGCAATAGTTATGTTTCTGTTCTCTGTTAGAGCTGGTTGAGTTTAGGTTGCATTTTGTTAGACAGTATTTTTTTTCAGCTTCTCTCTCTTTTTTTTTTTTTCCTAATTACAAATAATCTGTGTAGGCCCTGGGTTGTTAGGTTTTGTTTGTTTTGTTTTTGTTTCAGATGCGTGCAACTAATGTCTCCTTTCCGTTTCCTCCTTCCTTAGGATGACAGCGATGGGATTCCGTGGTCAGAGGAGAGGGTGGTGCGGAAGGTCCTTTATTTATCTCTGAAGGAGTTCAAGAACGCACAGAAGCGGCAGCATGGCGATGGCATTAGCGGGAGCCTCAAGGCAGTGAACGGTGAGCTGCCCCTGTGGTACTGTACCGCTGGAAGGACTCAGTCCTTTTCAATGTGGTGGTTCTGCTGTAGTGAGGAAGGAGACCAGTGCACCATCTGGCATGCACCGTGCCCTTTTGATCTGCACAGAACAACTTGTTTCTGAAGTGCTTAAAATGCCCAGTTTGAACAATCCATATGTTTCAGTTTCTAGTGAACTGATTGAGATGGGAATCAGGGTGGAGGGTAGGTGTCAGGCAGGAGGACAGGGGCAGGTTGCTGTTTGGTAGAGAAGGAAGCTCTTTTAATGGACCTGCTACCTGATGTGTTGAGTCTGTTGACAGCGATGGTATCCATTTAAAGGTGATTGGCTTCAGTTATCTTGAGCGGAACAGAATTTACCAATTCTATGTCGTTTAGATGCAAGAAACTGGCTAACCAGCATCTGTAACTCTGGAGTGATCTCAGTCCACGCTGTCTATTGGCCAGAGTTGAAATAGCATACGACCTACATAAAAAGATTTAGGGGACAAATGCTGGGATGTTAGACTCCCCTAGTTCACGGAGCAGTTGTTTAAAGGCTTTAAAAGGAGATGTAGACAAACCTAGATGACAGGGGCTTGAAAGACATTTAATTTTATTTATTTAATCCTTTGACTGATTATTATCTGCTGCTCCCCCCCTGCTTCCCTTACAGCTTGCTTAAAAAAACCATGGTGTCCTGAGAGGTAAATATAAAGCCTGTCTTTTTCAGATTCACTCCCTGACACAGGACCCTTTCTTGAAAAGGCTTTGTCATGCTGGCTTGAGCCTTGAAAGTGATGACTAGCAGGATTCAGATTTCTGGGCAGGCTTACGGTTTTCTCTTCACTCACAAGAGCTTATTTGTTTCTTTATGGAGGTTCATGGCAGTTCCTTTTAGGCATGTGCATAACTATACATGTGCTAATGCACTAAAGCAGCAGCTGGGTGCTTACTTGGTAGGTTATTCATATTTATATGTAGCTTGCATTTTTGGCACGGTGAGTCAAATTTCACTGCATTTTCACTGAGTGTTATTGCTGACAAGGCAAAAACCTAGGGGAACAGCTGGATAACTACAGGCAGTGTGATAAAGTTACTGTATTGCGTAAGCAATTGCAAACTCCTTAATGTGATTAAAGACGACCTCAGACTTCTGAGTTCAGTAATAATATCAAATACTGATCTGATGGGAAGGGGCATCTAGCTTTAGCAGCAAGCCATTAGTAAGCTTGGAGGTGTACACAAAACAGAGCTGGCTTTTTTTCCCCTCCGACACCTCTGCATCATTGATCTTCTGTCAAACACAATTTCTCTTGGAAAGTTTCTTATTCCATTGTGGGGGTTTTGTTTAGTCAAAGGAAAAAAGTCTAAAGGCGTGAAGCACAGTAATTGTGTGTTAGGAAGCTTTGATAGTGTGCCAGGTTACAGGATGACTGAGGTTTTTATGGTGTCTAGTTTCTCCAAAGGCAGCTTAGATGAAAAGTGAGTTGGCTGGGAATGCTGTGTCGATGCAGGTATCAGACGCAGAGTATGCCACTGGCTTCCTCTGGCAGCAGCATGGCTCGCATCTTCAGAGCTTGCCTCTCACATTCAGAACTGCAGCATTCAGTGCTTTTGCTCCTTCACAGAACTAGGTGATCAGTTCTTTGGGAGTTTTGAGTTCTTTGGGTTGTGGTTTTTTTTTTTTTTTTTTCCTTGGTGCCAGAATGATATGCTGTGTTACTCTTTCTGTTTGTTAAATGATTCTTTAAATGTCTGTCTCAGCACTGCTCTATTTCAACGTCACTGTCCACTATCCACTGATATTGGGAAGACTGTTTCATTATACAGAGAAAAAAACTTTGCAAAAGGGAGAAGAATTGATACTGTGTGGTTACATTAAGAAAATCTATTTAAACATGCTATTTGTTCATTACATCTTTTTAAAAAACATACCCATGTATTTTCAAGTCCACAGGTCTCTGTGGACAGAGGAAAAAGCAGGTCATCCCAAGAAATTACTGAGCTATTTTGAATTTAAGAAAGTGTAATATTTTAAGAGTGAGCCTTAGATTCATGAATTCATACTGTTGGAGTAAAAAATATTTCCTTGCATGTGTGCTTCGTTGCAACATGCAGGCCACAACCAGTGTTTCTTGTGAGATACTCTAAAAAGTAGCATGCAGTTAAATAGAGTTTGATTGACAGTGCAAAAAGCAAGTAATTTTAAATGTGAGAGATGAACCCATTGACAGGAGCCTCTTCTGTACTAAAGTTTCTGCAAGCTCTAACATGGTGTCCTGGTTTGAGGGCCCAAACCACGACAGATAGGCTGGCGGTGGCACAGAGACAATTAACTTCCATGCCTCTCTGAATAATAAAAGTAGAACAAATTTTTTTTTAAAAAAAAAATAATTACTTTTTGAGATTATATGTGTTACAATACCTTGTCTATCTCCGCCTCACTATTAAAGATATTTGTTACCCTGAAAACAATCCTGCCATTTTCAGTTAGTGGCTGAAACGCTGTTACTTAGGTGGTTCTGATTAAAGTAGAGAGATTTTGTTTGGGGGTGGTGGTGTGTTTGCAGGTCTTCTTACTCCTACATTTTTTACATCTCCTTTTCACCTGATGATATCTGCTTACATGTTTGTGCTGCCAGTTATTTTTCATCCTAACTGGTTTTGTGCTTTCTTTATTCTTATTTCCCACCCCAAGCTAGGATTTCAGAGAAAGGCAAGCGGGTGTATTGTGGCTATTGTATTGGTGGATATATTGCATGCATGTTTATGTTGACTCTAGATATTCACACAGTACAGAATGACACCCTACAGTATGGCTTTGTTTGCTATGTGTTCCTCTTCAGCATGTGGGAATATAAAATCTGAAGGAGATGATTCTGCACGTTGTCAAGAAACCTTCTGCAGCCCTAAATGGGATACTGGAACTCTGATTATGGAAACAAGGTCGCATGCTGGAAAACCCAGTGGGACCTCTTTAGTGATTTTGATTATGGCTGCCTGTCATTTGCGTTAGGATTTTAAGAATAGGGATTGGTGTTTAGAATTGTGATACCAATTTTCAGAGATCCTCATCTAGGAGGAAAGCTAATTCCCTTGGGAAATTGTTTTCTTCTTGTGTCGCTTAGAATGTGAGATAAGGCTGTTAAAAAAAAAAAAAAAAAAAAAAAGGCAATGAAAGATGTAATTATTGCTTGCGTTCTATTTATGAGAATAAATTCAGTAGTCTCAAAAGAGTATATCATAAAGCAAATTTTTGTGACATAAGGTTTTAAATTCTGTTTTTCAAAACTTGTGATAAAGAAGAAATTTCTGATAAAGAAGTGCTAGTGTTTTGCAAATGGAAAAAATGCCAAAGTTTGCTTGTTTGTTTAAAGTGATTAGTTAATCTACAGAGATGACAAACCAGACGTCAGAATTATTCAAGCAGATAGTGCATTAACAGCAGCTATACTTTGTCTGAGAGAGGTGTCACGGCAATTTCCAAACGTGCCAGCTACATTAAGCAAATATGATCTAGTTGGGAAATCAAATGTACGTGGGGGAGTGCATTGGTTCAAGGCAGAAGTTGGAAGTCTTGCTCATTTAGTAAAAAAATCAAGGGATGAGTAAAAGTATGTAATTTTGCTATTCTGAGAGATTTCACCTTACATTTAGGGTGGTTAAAGTCATTTATTCGTTTACTTATGATGTTCTTTAAACAGAGAAGGAACAATGTCAACACTTTGATGGAGGTGGTGATTGGTCCACCAATGGCTGTGGTGCCTCTTCCTCCCTGTCTGCTCCTGCCCTCAGCCGTTCCCACACAAAAGCTAATGTGACTTTTGTTGGAGGTTTGCTTTTTCCAAAAATGAAAATGTCTTGGTACAGAGAGGTAGGAGCTTCCAAGGCAGCCCATGGCGGGAATGCGGTGCTGGACCCAGCAGCAGCAGCCTGCTCTGACATCTGGGTCTACCCATCCCTTGGCTGCCATGTCAGCTGGCTGTGGCAGGCAGCAGTGTTATCTGGAAATAGCTATTTTTGTCATCGCTGCACAGATTTTCAAGTGTTTCCTGCTCACTGCATGGGGATTCATGTTGATGCTCCCCAGCGGACTATGTCAAAACAAAGGTGCCCAGTGGTAGGGTGGTGTGGGGCTGGATTAATTCAATTCCAACTTGTTGGTGAAACCTCTTTTCCCTGGCTGTGTAGATGATACCCCAGACATGGTGTAAAAATTGTGACAGACGTGGTAGAAATGCCTAAACACAACTAAGCTGGGTACTTTAGCTCAGTGCCGTGCATTATCTGCCAAAAGCCAACTATGTGGGGGTGGCAGCAGCTGGCAGCAGGGCAACCATGTCTTCTCTGGGCTGAGGCCATGTCTCTTCTTTTCCCACTTGTGCAGATTAAAACACAGCAGCCCTCAGGGAAGTGCTGCTGTCTCAGCTGCGTCCCTACGTGCCCACAGCAGCACGTGCCTTCTTTCTCCCTGGTGCAGACATGTAGGCTGGACCACTGCCCCACCTTTAATTTTGAACAAGAAAGTAGCCCTCTTCATTCACTGTGATGGTTCAAATATACTGGCAACTTAATCTCTCCGATTTCTGAAGGCTGCAATTAAATACTGGAAGAAGGTTTTATGCTAACATTTGTCTAGGGAGCTTTTCACTGCATCATTGATGTGAAATTGCATTTGTTGACAGTGGGTAATGTCTGTCTGTCTCCTAAGCTTTAGCAGAAGATTGTAAGTGTGCCAAGGACCCTTGTCTTTCTAAGTGGATTTTTAAAATGCGTTTGCAGAAACAGAAATACCTTTTTCAAGTCTGCAATATTTCCCCTTTACATTCAGAGTAAACAACCTTTTTGGCTAGTTTTAAACTGTGATTAAATATAGATGTTTTCAACTAAAAGGTTCAGAAAATAAGCATTTGAGCAGATCTGTCATGGCACTCAACATCACTTTCACTTTGGTGCTTGCTGTCAAGTGAAATTAAAGATAAACAAATAAATAACAGGA